CTCAACATTTCCTTATGACATATTTTCAATAACTCACCCAGTTCACTAAAACAGGTCAACCCGCCCACCAAGTCATCAGTAGAGCAGGTGTTAAAATGAGTTCATCAACCACCGCTGTGCTCAGGCGAAAACTTATTAATAATCACAATATAGACATTAAGCCTGACAGCATAATGTAACAGACTGGATGTTCTGTTTTAGTGTTTTTGCTACTTTTTTGTCTGGGAAATGTTTGTTTTTGGTGTTGATTCCCCTGATCGGTAATCTCTGCTCTATCTGCTCGTTGAGCAGTTGTTTGTCGGTTGCCATGGCAACGGGTCGTGCGAAATACCGTCATACAGAGCTAGAAAAGGCGGAATGGTTTTTACCAGAACAAGAGTGGTAGCATGAGAACAAATGAAAGTTTGATCTCTGTAATTGTTTGGTGAATGAGGAAAATAAATCACCAAGAACAATCAATAAGTTTGGAAATTGAACCTTCTTTTGCCTGTGTCCAGAAACTTGACCCCAGTGCCTCAGTAGTGGCTTGGTGGAACTTTTATTGGATGTTTGGCTTGGCAAACAGTCAGAAGTGGTTCTAGCTAGTTTGGTTCTTCACCTGTTTATCAGCTTTATTGTACCTTTATTGTGGCGCACTGCTGCAATTCCTAAAAACAAGCAACAAAAACTGAGCTAATCCCCTGTGTTCGCAAAGCGTGGTGATATTTATAACAATCGTCAAACTACGGCTCCTACAGCATATTTAAAATAAAACGATTGACCAATATAAATAGAAATTTGCCCCTTCTTGCATCTTGACAGAACTAACAGAAACTAAACTGTTTATGTATCATGGAGAATTGATCAAACATCAGTTTTCTAATCTTTATTTTAAGTCGTATTTAATAGATATATCTAATAACAAATGATGGCGCTACTAATATTTTCGTGACAGATTTCTCCTTGTCCTGTATTGGGATAAAATGGTTTTCTGGACACAATGAATCACATAGCGACCAATAGGCGCTGTCCAGTCCAGTAATGCATATCAACTAGCAGGAATATGAAAGACATAAAAATAATTAACTATACTACATTAAGAAATTGCATTTAAGCCTCAGTGCTACATGAAGCTTATTTTGAAACAATGCAAGTTAAAAACAATATTTTGTGTGGGTATATATATATATATACTCACACCCCTGAAAAAATCCCTGCCCCCCTCTTGCCACCCCATAAATATTTTTCTAGATCCGCCCCTGCGCAACGTCAAACCATCCAAGACGTGACCATCCATTTAAAGGAGCCCGATAGCAACTCTGGAGGAGCTGCAGTGATGCAAAGCCAGTTTTAGGTCCAAAGTCGTTTCAAAGCTTA